GAGTCAGTTGAATGACAGACACTGTCTGGTGGTTACATCTACTACAAGTATATCCTGCAGGTCTCCGTGGTTTCTAATGAGTATGATACTCGAATTGATAGCGAGAGGTTGCAGGTTCGAATCTCACCAGAGACACGTGGTTTCCATACAATTGATATAAAAGAACGCTTCGTTGATGAGCTATGATTGATACGATGATATTACAATGATCAAGCGCTGTTATTATTATTCATCTATTTGTTCAGTAGGTCTATATACTTCTGTATATAATTTTTATACTTTTATATATATATTATACTTTTGTATATTTATACAATGCACAAATCTACCCTTCTGAGTTACCTTTCATCCAATCTTGTGTAATTTTTTCTGTTGCAATTTCTTTTTATTACAATATTTACTTTTAAATCTTGATTTTGCTCTGTTGTTTTGTTTTGTTTTGCTTTTTCCTTTTTTGTAAAGGAAATGTGTTCTTTAATTCAGATTAATTTATTATTTCAATTATTTTTCTGTTTTATACGTCAATTTTAGTTGTTTTTTTTAATTTATTATTTTAAATGTTTTCCTTAAATTATTATTTGTTTAAGTACTTTATGATTTTTTTTTCATTTTTCTGTTTTAATCATTTTTTTAAATGTTAAGGATCTAGTTTAATTTTTATTCTTTTGTATTAATATGTACTGAGGGTCCCAAATGATCAGCTCTGACTGGATGAGCCACCCTCACAAAATATTGTTGAAATTAAGAAATAATTACCGGTAATAATGCGTATATTTGTATGTACTGTAAACCTGTGATTAAACTTGCTACAATACGCTTCCTATAAACAAATAATAACATGGAACAGAGCTCAAATATAGGAACAAGTGTTGTTACGATTAAACAGTGGAGAGCCATTCGACAAATAATTAATTAACAGTTGATAGAAAAAAATGCTTTTGGGGAGAAGTGAAGCTGTCAATGCGAAAGTCATACCGCATACAATCGCGCTCAATGTGAAGGCAGGCAGGCTTTTAGTCGTGTGTGTGTGAGCGACATGTGTATTTTAGTCCTTGTAAAACATTTTGTAGTATTAGACAAATAAAATTTCAACTCTTAAATATTAAACAATAACCTATTAGCTGTTTGTAATTTTAGGCCTAACTCGCGACGAAACATCGTCCACACTGTCCACACTATCAAATTCTGTTTGACATAAAGATGTGACATGCCTAAATATGGTCATAATGACATCACATCATGACCATATATAGGCACATCATGACCATATATAGGCACATCATGACTATATATGGGTATACAACATTTTTTTTGTCAAACAAAATTTGATAGTGTGGAGAGAGCATTTCTTAATCATTGAGGCAAGAATATGCAAATATTTTGGCACCCTTTATAGATCAGTTTTAATATCTAACTTCGTGAGGGCGTAGGAAAGTGGGACATCATTATGTTCATGTCTCATCTTTGACAAAATCTTGGGTTAGCCCTATATTGCACAGATCCCAAGACTTGAAATGGAGGGTGGTGACTGATGGTAGCGTGAAGGTGAAGTAGGGTGGAGGGAGGTTCGTTGATTAGGTGAGATGGAGCTAGCTCGAAATATAAGGTGATTTTTAACTGTACTTGAGAGTAATTTTATTGCCTCGAATATTTTCAATGGGGGAGGGGATGACTCACGGACGACTTGGTGGTGAGTATTGGGGGTGGGGGAAGGCACACTCCCCTAGGTACGCCACTGCCTCCCAGGTATTTTTATGTATATGTTTTAATCAAACTGCTGACTATGCGGTGGCCGGTGCATACAGTAAAGTGATCGGTACATATCGTTGAGTGCGTTAGCTGTACGTATGAGAATAATTGCCAAGTACACGTGCTGAAATCTTAAATTATAGTACAGTTGTATTTGTAATCTTTCGTAAGATACATTTACCTTGATTCATTAATAATAATAATAATAATAATAATAATAATAATAATAATAATAATAATAATAATAATAATAATAATAATAACGACTTGGTAGACATTCGTTAAAGAGAAAAAGAAATGTAAATGATTAATGATTTCAGTGTTGCCCTTCTCTTTTCAGTCTTTTTTTCCCCAGAAGTCAGTCACCTTGTTACCTCATAATATAGCCTTAAAGCCATTGTCACATTATATTTGAGTCGTCTTCACTGACGCCGTAGAGCAAGATTGGTTGGGTTCTGTGAGTGCGTTTGGCTGGGCCTAGTAGCAATATTTGTCGCACTCAACAGCAGATTTGTTTTATGCGCACACGAGACGCAAAATATACTACCCTGCTAAAGACCAGGAAAATTACGTAGAAATGAAAATTATGACGTCATGATTGACTTTTATATTTTGTGAAGAAAAATGGGATTCTATTCTAACCAACCATGGAGAAAGAAAGAAATTATTTCTTTCTCTATGATCCAACATAGCCCGATTGGCCGGGTTGCTTAAGTGATTACAAAGTGCAACAAGACACCCGGATTTTAATTTTTAGCTTTTATCTGGCTATGTACAAAGAGGTTACCAAAATACAACACATCTCCAGAGGACTGAGCCCAGTGTACAATTAAAATTAAGTCAACGTTTCCAAACGTTTGTTAAACAATTAATTAAATATAAACATTTACTCGTTTTAACGTTCAACATGTTTGCTATACAGTATTAGCATTACCGCAAGACGGTGTAGATTATCTCTATAATATTGTACCTTAATTTATATATACAGTATATCATATATAATGTAAATAGACGGCATGCAATGCAGATAGCCTCTAAAGATAATATAAAGCAATAATTCATTTAACATACAAGTTTTAGTCTATAAGTTCATCTCATATATACTGGAATTAATAGATAAACATAAAAAAAAATGCGTTTTTAACTATTGATTTATAAATGCATTCTATTCAAAGGAATCTTTTGTATTTATTTAAATTTTATATCTACACTTTTTAAATCTATCTCCATACTGTACACGATATATAATAATTTCAGGATTTTCCCGTATATGTGGGTCATAGGATCTCTTTAGGTACCGCTTGATTTAATATTTACATATACGAATATTCAATTAGGCCTCTATTATTTTGTTTAGAAAATAAAACATGATGATATAAAATGATGAATTTAGTAAGTTTCTTCACATAGTTTTTCACAATTTGTCAGGGCAAAAATATCATAAATGAAGTTTTGAAAATGTAGTGCATATAACGGCACTATTCCCGACAGAGAAAGTAATCTCCAACAGGTTTTTTTTTTATCTTGCATATCCACATAGGTCTATATATATAGAGCACTCTAAATTTAGATAAAACCTAAGAATGAAAAAGAAAATTGTGCTTTAAGAAGCTACTATCCGAGGCAGGCCCCGAGAGGTACGTAGTTGTCCCCGAAAGGGACGCAATTTTCCAAGAAAAATGTTTTTATTGCAAGCTTATAATATGAATTAACACAAAAATCGACGGGCCTGTATGTATTGTAAAAGTTGAAATTTCAGTTCAGAAATTTATAAATTATTTCACCAATTGCACGATCTTTAAGAAAAATTGTCAGAAATGGTATGGAAACCAAAGCGTATATATAAACCTATTGTCCACCCTAAGCTCTGCCAACACTATCACATTTCTTTGACAAAAGACAGTTGTATGCCCGTATATAGTCCTGATGTGCCTATATTATGGTCTTGATGTGATGTCATCATGACCATTAGGCATGTCACATACAATGTTTTGTCAAATACAATTTGATAGTCAGTAGGCCTATAGGCCTACAGGGCGGAAAACAAATAAAAAGTTGACACAAATCGAAGACATCACAGGATATACAACATTGTGGGCACATTCACGTCGAGTCATAAGCCAGACACATGCTGCACCTGACGGTATTCGGCTGACGCGATTCCTGGCACGCAACGTCACGACTCGAGCGCAACGTTCGTTTTTAATGAGGATCCGTTCAGACTGTCACCAAAAACAGTAGACTGCGTCACGTCTTCTAGCACTCACATGGAACGGAGTAGGATTCGTCGTACGGTGCAGTCTAGTGAGTGCCCGGCTTAAGAAGATTGCTGAAACACCTATTCTATGAATACCCCCGTCGACCACCCAAACCTATACACCATGAATCCCACCAATCCCCTAAAAATGACATATATAAAATGTTATATATACATAATACCTTCTCTCATTAACCCAACGAGTTTTAAAAATTATGCCGTAAATATATGTTACTATGATTATGAATAATGTGTGCATTGGAGGTGGCGCCAAGATTTACCCGACGGAGGAGTGTGAAGCCCCGACAGGGAGGGGAGCGATGTCCATGACGAGAACCGAAGTGCACGTTGTCGGGATTCGCTCAAAAAATCTCGGAAGTAGCCCAGGGGGAGAAGCCCCCGAAAACTGTGTTAAAAAAAAAAATAATAAAAAAAAAAGTATAAAAAACAAACGGCGTCCCTCTGTATTACTGTATTACAAAAAAATAATAAGTAAAGCAAAAGTACGGTAGCACATAGAGACTAATTGCCTACACAGTGGCGTATCTAGGAGGTGGGGCTGATGGGAGGAGCAATGGTGAAGTGTGGAGGAAAAGGTAGCTCGCAAAATAAGGTGATTTTTTTCTATCTGGAGCGTAATTTTTTTGCTTCGAACAGTTCAAGGGAGGCGAGTGGCGGACGTTTTTTTAGGGGCCCATAGATACGCCACTGGGTAAACTTCTTCGGGTGAATGGAGATGTACACTACTTGTGTTATTAAAAATCTAACTACTTTCGAACTAGTTGCTTTTCTACTGTAAATTGAAATTGGTATGGTAAAATGTAAAACTCCACAGCGATTGTATATCTGTCGGCCTAATACTCAATCTAAAATGTACCAAATTATTTACGAAGAAATGAGTACCGTATATGCCTAAGCCTATATTTTACCTTGATTTATTAAAATGATTCTTAAATGATGATTAAAATGATAAAGGTGAGCGAAAATGCGATCAACTGCTGAAATATTTGCAATAAATCGGCAGACCTCTAAAAACTGCATGCAGTAGATATATTAACATGCACGGTCATAAGCCTAATTTTCCGTTAGGCAAAAACGAATACAGAAATTGTTTAATTTGCGTGATATCAGTATAATTATTAGCCTAGGTTGAGAAATGTATCAGTCTTCTGAAGCTTAAATGCTAAAGGTCAATTTTAAAACAGTTGTAAAATAGTGCATAGGTATATGCATTTTCACAAATTATGAGATTTTGAAATCAATGATAAGCCTCTTAGATAGTTAACTGTTGGAGCTTCCAGGGGCTTCGCCACTTGATGTCCCACTGGGGACCTTAGGCTGGTCATGAGACTTCGACTCTTCGATGGGGTAAATTCTTGAGCTACCCCTGCCTGACGGTAGAATAGCGTCATGTGGTACGGGTACTGCTTTAAGACATGGCAGAGTTTTTCGCATACCCACTCTAAAGTCATCATATTTGAAAGTGTATATTATGGGATTGATACAGATGTTACACAGTGACATTGCTACTGTAATGTAGTACAACGGTCCGTTAAAATTAAACTTTCCACCCAATGTAAAGTTGATAAAAGCTATTTGGTTTGGTGTCCAGCAGATAACATACGTCACACTAACTATTAACATTGTCCTAATAATATTCAGTCGTCTGGCCGCACTGATCGCACTTACTCCCTGGGAAATACTGCCAACACGGCGCCGTAGAGCACGGAAAATTCTGAAGTAAACAAACAGCATCACACCGATAGGTATAATAAGAATGTAAAGACCATTCAGTAAACCAAAGGCTTTCTGATACTCAACACTTGGCCAACTCTGGATACACTTTCTATCCTTCACAGTGTGTGCCGCTAACCAGAGGAGGACAAATCCAAAACCGCTTATCCAGGGAATTAGCAAAAGCATCACTTTCATCCTACACTTTTCCTTGACTATTTTGTACTTTAGTGGATACATTACGGCAAAGTAACGATCAAATGTAAGTACTACCAGATTAGCCGTTGAGGAATATATACTTGACCAGAAAATATACTTGCTTGACCAAAACTTGCAAACTAATTCTGCTGCAACACTAGAGTCTGGGAGCCGAGTCATTATGTCCGAATCAAGAAAAAGGCAAAGCGAAACAAAAGATGTCAAAAAGTCAATGATACACTGATTTGTGATCAAAAGGTTTGTTGTACTGCATCTATTCTGCAAGTTATATAGAATAAATACGGCAAAGCCATTTGTTGAACACCCGATTGTACCGACAATACTATAGAGCAGTTTCGTAGTACTCATCTTCGTAGTACAGACTTGCTTAGTGCTTGAAATTTCAAAGAACAATACCTAAGCACAGTTGAGAGATGAATTACGGTCTGGTGCGCTGTTACTGTCATTTTTATATGAAAAGGTGAACTCTTTGCATAATATATCCGATATACTTAGCTAATTAAACTATGACATCATAGCACTCATTAGCACTGTGGTCGATTGATCGCACCATCTTTATGTAACTTATTTGTTAGTTTCGTCGTTGCTAGTAGCTTTGTGCTTGCAGGTTGGCCTATACTTACATATAAAAACAGTAGACAACATTAACCTATCATTATAGCTTCAAGCAGTATTCAATTACAAATGAATATGTGAGGTTGTAATAAATCAGTGACTATGTCGTATCACAATCCTATTGGCTATTGTTTTACCACTGATGCGACTATGCAGGAGCAGGGAGCCTGATTTTTTTTTTTACTAATTCGTGTAATGTATTGAATGTAGTAATGTAGTAATGTAGTGGAATTATAGTACGTCTAAATGCAGTATCGAAAATGCGATTCGGACAAGAAAAATCAATAAAAAATATTATAAAGCCCATATTAAAATCATTATTATTATCGTCGTCGTCGTCATCGTCATCGTCATCGTCATCATCATCATCATCATCATCACCATCACCATCACCACCATCATAAACATCGTTATCATTATGGGTTACCTGGCTTTTAAAGCTAATGAATCGAAAGACTGTTAAGAGATCAATGGTAACCTTCAGTGTAATGTGATAAGAACGTAAGCGACGAAATGAAACAGCAATTGCTCAGCTAAAGGTTGTTGGCATACATGCAGTTGCAACTACCGTGAATTAGAATTGTATGGCAACATTATGCGAACTTTCAGGATTGGGGTACAATACGTGTAATATGTCACATAGTATAGGCATGTAATACGGAACCGTTACGTTCTTTAAAAAAAAAACGGTTAAAAAAAAATCTTATATTCTTCTTTTGCGTTTTAAAATTTATTTAGGCATATAT